CCTGAGGTAATTTAAACTTCCTAAGTTGACGCAGGAAGAACATCCTGTGTTGTGCCTTTTTAATTATGGTTCTGATGATAAACATGATTACAATTCATATCCTCATTCCACACTTTAGTGCAGATCCTTATCCCCTTTTAATGGAAATCTTTCATATTATCTTTTAGGTTTGTGAGAATATGTTGCTCTATGTGAACAGTACCTTTCACATACAGCAACATATTCTCACAAACCTAATAAAAAGGGTTCTCAAGATGTGTGGCACTGTGACTCAATAACAAAAATAGTATAAACACTAATAATATGTAAAGAATAACTAATGATTATGCAATGGGGATAATGGAGGAAAAAAAGGGGGAAAATAATATTTTTCTTTAGAATGCATAAATATTCACGCAAACTTAAGCAGGATTAGGTCATCTCAACCACTTCTTCCATTCCCTCTCCCAAATGATCCCCATGCACAGCCCAGTTAAAAGCTTGCTTGGAGGGGAAAGGAAGAAAACTCATCAGGATTAGCTCCATATTTCTTTTTAACTTGACTCTTAATATTCCCTGGTCGTGCTAGTCTTTTATGTCTCTTCCTCCTCCTGGAAATTTGTTGGAATAAGCAGTGGAGAAATTACTGCAATGAAGAAAAAGCCAGCAAACCTAGCGCCTCTTTATTGAGAAACACCTTGCTCTTAGATTCACCTTTTTGCTTCTCCAATCAGAACTTGCCCTTCCAAGCAATTACAGGTGGAGTATGGGCAGGCACCCATGTGAAACAATCCTGGGGCATGACTGTATACAGCCTCATCCTTGGACTGAGGTGGGCTCAGCTTTCCTATGAACCTTTTCTAGGTGACACTGCCAAGGCCAATTTTAGCCCAATTTGGTTCAAGAGGAGCAAGGAGGTAGAAGCCACAGCTGCTGGACAAAGCCAGCACCATCTGTATAGGCACAGGAGAGAGGACAGTCCCCAGCCAAGAGATGAAGGAAGACAAAGTATTGGTCTAGACAGGTGAACTACCTCAAATACTGGAAAGAACATGCATCCATCATGATTTGGGGCTTTTGATAGGTCTATTCTTAATAAGTTTAAATTCCTTTCAAAGGCATCCATCATTACAATTATCTCCTGCTAGCAAGTTCCACAGTTTTATACAGCTGAAGTGTCACATATTGCCTGCTATCTGTCCTGAATTGTCTATCATTTGTTGGATGAATCAAGGATCTAGTATTATAAAAGAAAGAGATGGCTGCATGTTATGCACCTTTACTATGTTCCTTTTCTCCAAGTTAAACCCCTCCCATTTTGTAGCCTTTCATATGATAGTTATTCCAGCTCTCTTGATCATCATGGTTGAACATTTCTACACATTTTCTAATTTTATCATTTATTTATTTATTAATTATTAATTAAATTTGTATGCCACCCATCTCTCCAATGGGTGACTCTGGGTGGCTCACCATACCCTAATTAAAGTGAAATGCCCAGAACTGAATATTCCAGCTCTCCTTGCTGACAACTTGATGAGCTGGGACTGCAACTCCCAGAATTCCCCAGCCATCATATCCCAACAAATGTTCATGAAACTATTAATTACAATCCCAAAATGCCTTTTGTGGTTATGCATCTCCAGTTCAGAGCCCACTAAACCTTATATCCAAAGTTCTACTTTATTTCCTCACTTACAGGGATTCTCTTGCTCTCTATTGTCCCTTGTTACACATGTAAATAGATGCTATAAGCAAGCTTGTCCACTTTATTGTTCACTACTTAATTTCAGGTAATTTACAAGCAATATAAAAGAACCAGATCCACCACCAATCCTTCTGGGAACTTTTTGCTAACATAATTAAGGGAGCTATCAATTTACTCTTTGCTTCCAATTTGTTAACTAGTTACCCAATGCAATTGCTAACTTTTATCAGGTATCTATTCTGAAGAACTATAGCAAAAGCGTTCTGAAAGTATATCTGCTGCTGCTGTCCCTCATTTAAAGCCCAGTGCCTGGTATGTTCATGTTGGGTCCAGATGATGGGAGTTGTAATCTAAAACCATGTTGGGAAAAGTTTAAACCTTATTCATACACATAGTTTATCAGTATCTTTTTCTGATACTACCAATTCAGCTTAAAATTATTTGTAAGAGATCCACTCTTATCCTTATCCTATCTTCAGCTGTTTGAAAGTAGATGTCCAGTAGCATCTGATACCCATTTTCTAAAGTTAAGCAGGTGAATAGAATACACAGGATGAAAGGTTAACAACTCATGTAAAAGTAGAATGCAAATGTGATAATTTTATTTTTAAAAAGACATCCTTGTGTAAGTATATTACCATTACAAACAATGTAAATAAAAATAAAACAAATCAACTGTACCAAAAAAAACAACAAAAAATAGAAAATTTCTCTAGCGGAAATCATGCTGTATCTATATAGATATGCATACAGAATAGAGAGACATCTGGATGTCTTTTCAGTGTCCTCATGGACAACTCTTCTGTCTCTCCCTATAGATCTTGGGACAAGAGAACAAAGTAGTGTTACTCACCCGTGTAGCCCGTCTGATCTCCGATACTCATCCACTAGCAAGGCGCCTGAAGGACTCACTAAGGAGAAGTCAACATCGAGCCCAGCCCCGCCAATAACCTGAACGACACAACAAAGGATACGGGTTGGAGGGAACCTGGTCCAACCCCCCAACTCTTAAATACACGAGAAGTAAGAAACGGAGGCACAAAATAGAGCGAGCAACGACGGCTTAGCGACAGCCCAGCCAAATTCGCGGACTAACCCGACGCTTCCCAAGAAGCGCTGGGAGCACCGCATCGCATTTCCCTCCGGGAAAGTAGCTCGCTCTGCCCTCGCCTTGGTGGGATCGGGACCCCACCTGGTACTCGATCTCCATAGAGCCATTGGCGGGCGCGACCTGGTAGAAGCACTCCCTCCGCCCGGCGGGCAGCAGGAAGGTGAACTCGGCATCATGCGGCGGAGGCGGCTGGGCCGCCGCGTGGAGGATCCTGCGCGGCGCCTCCCAAAGCAGCAGCAGCAGCCACAGCCGGAGCCCTGAGGCGGAAGGCGCCGCCATCCCGCTGGACGTCCCCGCTTCACCCGGAAGAAGAAAGGCGGTGGGCGCGGGCCGGGGGAGGGAGCCCCCGCCCCAAGCGGGGGCGGG